TCTGTTTCTTTTTTCCGCTACATTTAGCGGGGAAACTGTGGGAGGAGGGGAGGGTTCTGACGAGGAGAATGGGAGCGTACGCATGAGGAGGGGGAGGGTACGCAGGAGGAGGAGAGGAGTGTACAGAGAAGGAGGAGGGAAGGTAAGAAGGAGGAAAGGAGGAAGAAGAAAGGCATACCCTCCCCTCCTCCTCAAGAGCTGCGTTCTAATTTCTGGTTACAGAGATTTGTAAACGTCTTTCATTCTTTTACGGTTCTGGCTATATTTGGATCATACCTTCAAGCCGTTTCGTGGTCTTTTGGTGGGACCATCTGGCAACAGTGTTAAGGAGTATTCACTGGAAGTCGTAGCCGTGTGCTTTACGGTCAAGCGTGTGCTCAGAGCAAGCTTTCGCCCGATTTATTCCGCACCGTCAAAGATTATCTTCATGGCAAACCATAAGTTGCTTTACCCATTTTTCGTGGTGACGTCCGCACATGAATACATCATATTGTCACGAATGACAATTGATGAGGTGATGATAACTAAAGAAACTAAACGTTTAATGGGGCGAACTTGTGCCCAAAACAAAAAGGGAACACAAGAAAACAGCAGAACGTCGCGGGCGTCGATGTCGGCGAAACCGCAAGATCGAGCGCTGGGGCGAGACTGACTTTGGCTAGCCACGTGAAGCCCCTTATGTACACGCGTGGGCTTCTGGAATAATCGGAGTAGAAGGTTCGACGCGTAGAACATTCGGACCTAGAATAAACATCAATGTTCTCGAACTCACCAGAAGATTAGACTGAAAGAATAAATAAAAGACCAGTAACTCCCTGGAATCGAACCCTGGCTCTTCGCGTGGAAGGCAACACGATAACCGTTAGTCTATGGCCGCGCTGCCTACATAGCCAACTGCGCGCGCGGCATTACTACCCCCATTCAGAAGTGCATCACCCCGATGCAACACAATACAAAACAAAGCAAATAAAAATAACGGCAAACTAAAGAGTCATTTGAAACACATAATGTCCACACTCCTATCGAGCGTAGTACGGCTTCAGGCGCACGACGTGGACGACTTCAGGTCGTGGTGCGCACCGTGATGATGTCCTTGTTCCGTCGAAGATCTCCAAGTCGACGAAGCACTTTGTAAGGTACGAAATAGCGCTTCAGGAGTTTCTCGCTTAGACCGCGTCGTCGTATCGGGGTCTAAACCGACACACGGTTTCCGGGCTTGAAGCGAACGTTGATCCGGCGAAGGTTGTACCGGGTGGCGTCGATACGTTGTGGATCTTGAATCCGGAGTCTGGCTAGCTACAGACTTCTTCTGCCCGTTGGGTAACCACCTGGGCGTCGTCGCTTCCGTTGACAGCCGGTTCCTGGGGTAACATCGCGTCCAGCATTGTCGTTACTTTGCGACCATGAACCAGTTGAAAGGGTGTAACCCTGGTGGTCTGTTGTACGGCCGTGTTGTAGGCAAATGTGACGTACGGTAACACCTCGTCCTATGTCTTGTGCTCCACGTCGACGTACATAGAGATCATGTCAACGATGGTCCTGTTTAGGCGTTCCGTCAGCCCATTAGTCTGAGGATGGTACGCTGTGGTTCGCCGGTGGTTGGTGTGGCTGAGACGGAGGATCTCCTGCATCAGCTGGGCCATGAACGATGATCCACGGTCTGTAATGAGGACTTCGGAGGCGCCGTGACGGAGGACAATGGACTCGAAAAAAAACTTGGCGATTTCAACAGCCGTACCTGATGGAAGCGCTTTAGTCTCGGCGTACCGTAGGAGATAATTGGTTGCGACGATTATCCATCGGTTTCCTTGCACCGATGGTGGGAATGGTCCAAGTAAATTCATTACGATCTGCTGGAATGGGGCAGATGGCGGCGCATTAGGCTGAAGAAGTCCTGCCGGTCTCGTCGGTGGTTTCTTCCGTCGTTGACACACGTGGCCAGATCGGGTGCAGTGGAGGACTGTTTTCGCAAGCTTGGGCCAGTAGTACTTTTCGCGTATCCTGGCAAGAGTCCTGCTGTGGCCAAGGTGTCCCGCCGTCGGGTCATCGTGGCAAGCTTGAAATATTTCCTCTCGAAGACTGAAAGCGATCACCAACAGCCACGCCGTGTTGTTGTCAGTGACGTTATCTTTGTAGAGCACACCCTGTCGGACGGAGAAGGTTGGCAGTGTTTGTACGAAAACGCGGGGGACGGCGCTTCCTTGTCCCTCTAAATGCTCGACGAGTGATTGCAGCTCGCAACAAATCGTCTGTAGTAGGCACAGAGTCCGAGAAATCTTCTCACGGCCTTCTTGTCAGACGGCGGCGTAAGTGCAACTACTGCGCAGGTCTTCTCGGGGTCAGAGAGAACGCTTTTGTTGTTCACGACGTGGCCAAGGAACTTAAGTTCACCATAGGCGAATCGACACTTTGTCGGCTTGAGTAAAAGGCCCGCGGTCTTAATGGTTTGAAGCACGGCTCGAGGTCGTCTCAGGTGTTCGTCAAATTCTCGTGAGAATACCACGACATCGTCCAGGCAGACGAGGCAGCTCTGCCATTTCAGACCTGCCAGCACAGTGTCCATGACACGCTGGAAGGTGGCTGGTGCTGTACAAGGTCCGAATGGCATCACTTTAATTTCGTACAGTCCGTCGGGAGTGACGAAGGCAGTTTTCTCGCAGTCGCGTTCGTCGACTTCGATCTGCCAGTAGCGACTCAAGTCAATCGACGAAAAATATCGGGGTGGCGCAGTCGGTCTAGCGTATCGTCGATGCGGGGAAGCGGATACACGTCCTTCTTAATCACAGCGTTCAGTCGACGATAGTCTACACAGAACCTCAGGGTTCCGTCCTTCTTCTTTACAAGGACGACTGAGGACGCCCATGAACTTCTTGGGGGTTAAATGATGTCGTCGTCGAGCATTTCCTGAACTTTGACTTGAGTCACCTTCCTTTACTTTAAGGAGACTCTGTACGGCGACTGGTGGACAGGGAGCGCGTCGTCGTCGGTAACAATGCGATGTTTCGCCATTGGTGTTTGGCGAACTTTCGAAGACGTGGCAAAACAGTCACTGTATTCGGTGAGGAGGTAAACCAGTTGCCGGCGCTTAGGAGCCGGGAGCTCGGGGTCGATGTCGAGCTGCGGCGGCGACGTGCTCTTCTGCTAAGACGACGAGGTTTCCTCAGGGATTACAGTGACCACGGCTGGCGCCTGAAGCTCCTCGACATGGCCCACGGTGGTACCTTTTCGTTAGGTGCTGCGGCTCCTCTCGAAAGTTTGTCACGAGGACAGTTGTACGCGGTCGTCGGGCCATGGCGGCGTAGCTCATCGTCGGTTGTACGGGTGGTGCCAGGTCGACGGGAGACTCCGGCTGGAAGGCTCGCTGCAAGTCCTGTCGCACTACTTCGGTCATGGAGAGCGAGGCAGGGCGATCGGCACTGGACAGCACCTTTCTGATCTCCTCCCGAACGACGTCGCGGATTATCTGACGGAGATCCGGGTTGTTGCAGCTGAGGGGCGAGAGGGCAGCGACGCCGGGGTGTCGCTGATAGTGGGAAGCGCGCATTTGAAGGGCGCGCTTGATGTTGGTTGCCTCCGGGACGAAGCCTTCGACGGTGGTCGACGGGTTGCGGACGAGGGAGGCCTCCTAAGATGTCATCCCTAACTCCTCGCATCAGGATCTGTAGCTTCTTTTCGTCGGTGGCTTGGAGGTCGGCGCGAGCGACCGGGTGCAGGACATCCTCGACGAAACTGATGGTTGTCTCGTTTGCGCCCTGAGTCCGAATTCGAAGAAGGTCTTCGGCTTTCTCCCGTCGATACTGGTTGGTGAACGTTTCTCTCAGCGCATCCTTGCAGGCAGTCCATGAGGTCAACGAAGTCTCGCGATTCTCAAACCAGTGCCTGGCCGTTCCTTCGAGCGCGAGGTACAGACTCTAAAGAGGCTGTTCGTACGCCCATCCATCGTGCAGGGCCACTCGCTCGTATTGCTGTAGCCAGTCTTCGACGTCTTTGTAAGGCTCACCATGGAAGGACGTGGGCGTACGGGCAGCGACTCGTAGAACGACGACGGGAGGAGTGGTCATTGTCGGTATTTTCTTCCTCCGGTTTTCGGGCAAGAGACCCAATTCTGGAGACTGACATCTGATACGACGGCTTCTTCGAGCTTCGCTGTCTTTGGCGAAGGGTAGCCTTGCGGGGCTGAGCACGTCGCTTGGCCGGGATGTCTTCGGAGGTGTACGCTCAACGGGCATAGAATGCAATACCCCGCACCTCCAATAAAATGTCACGATTGACAATTGGTGAGGCGATGATAACTGAAGAGACTAAACGTTTAATGGGGCGAACCTGTGCCCAAAACAAAAAGGGAACAGAAGAAAACAGCAGCGCGTCGCGGGTGTCGATGCCGGCGAAACTGCAGGATCGAGCGCTGGGGCGAGACTGACTGGCTCGCCACGCGAAGCCCTTTATGTACACGCGTAGGCTTCTGGAATAATCGGCGTAGAAGGTTCGAAGCGTAGAACACTCGGACCTAAAATAAACAACAATGTTCTCGAATTCACCAGAACATTAGACTGAAAGAATACATAAAAGACGAGTAACTCCCTGGAATCATACCCTGGCTCTTCGCGTGGGAGGCAAGCACGATAACCGTTAGTCTATGGCCGGGCTGCCTACATGGAGAGCTGCGCGCGCGGCAAAATAGTCATGATATAATGAGAACGGCAAGGCGTCATTTTGACTGTCAGACCGCCGAAATACGCTCGTGGTTTACTGACATGCTTTCGCTGCATGTGAAGGCCCGAATCAAAAGCCGATGTGTTTTTAGAGGTTGGAAAATGGGACTACCGTAAGATCTCCCTTTCGTTCTCAGCCTTTCGGTGTGTAGGTTACATTTTGCCAGCGGCTCATTTTTTTTCTGCGTAATACTCACGGTATTTTTTAAATTTTCTCTCATATTTATTTGTTTTGCTACTTAAAAAAAAAACACCTAACAATAGCACAATGTTTGCTTTAAAACGTACCTCGCTGTGTTGTTCCACAACGTTGTTGTACTCGCAGGGGTCCTCGGATAAGTCGAATAGACAAGGTGCCAGGGTTGGCGTGCACGGTTTGCTCGTGTCTCTCCGACCGCACTTGACCGGAATCGCGTAGGACCCCTGGCCCGAGCCGCAGGTGACGTCGTGACCGGAGTTCCTCAGCACTTGGGCAGCGACGGACGTCTCGCACTCGTGGCGAGTTCTGTCGGTGTCCCACGCTACGTTTCCAGGAATCTGGAACCAGTCGTCCAATGCGCCTCCCTTCACGGTCCCGCTGACGAGCTTGAAGTGGCCCTCTATGATGGCGGTGACGTTGTCGATGGGATCGATGTTGATGAGGACTTCCTTTCTCGGCGCCTCCGTCCCGTGTCTAAGGGCCTCCAACTGACTGATGCCGTCAATGTCGCCAAGGTCCGACGGGTCACCGCCTGCGAGACTAGCGTCCATTCAACACGAGCCAAAGAATCACTCATTTAACAAAGCAATGAGCTAGAAAAAAGCAACTTGTATTTAACAATTTTTTAAACCGCCTGATACTGGGTGGACAACGAGAAACCAAATTGTGGCCTTTTTTTTTTCTTATTATTATTTTTTTTTTTTTGAATAACGAAAAGAAAAACAAAGATGTTAGCCCTGAAACTTCTGGGGCTGGCTACTTTGCTTTGAAAGAGGGGAATGGGAAGAAAAGGGGAGAGAGTGTGTTAATTCTGGAGGGAGCACTCAATGAAGCACGACTCTGGATGAAGATTTTGATGGCCCACAGCACTGGAGAGTTATTCACTCAGCACACTTGAGTTTAGTGTAATACAGTCATCGCAGTCTACGTTCAATCACTTGTCGCGTATCGATAGTTATGAACACGAGAGTCTGTATTTACAATAGAAATAGTATTATAGACGATCAATAAGCCCTGTATTTTGAAGACATTTCATTTCATTTCATTTCATTTATTTACTCTCAAGGCCGAAGCATATTTCCAATGCAGCTATAGCTTTTTGTTGAAGACTCTAAGGGTCTTGCGAACGCAAGAATCTCTCTAAGCTAAAGGGCTTGCTGTCTAATTCTGGAATATTATTTATAAATATCTGCCTGTCTTCGTCAAAAAGATCACATTCATAAAATATATAACAGTTTTCCTCAGGCACGTCGCGATGCTGACAGTTAGGGCTGTTGACGAGACCGAATTTATGCCTTTGAATGTTTCTGTATGTGGCATTCAGGCGCAGGCGATGTAGAATAGTTTCAAAGTTTCTTGGCAAATTACGTGGAAGTGCATTGTGGAGGAAAGGATCAACCGCATATAGCGGTTTGTAATGATATGCCGGTAATTGCCATAATTGTTGGAATACCTGCTTTCCAAGTTGTCGAATAAGGGCTCCAGTGTCGCTTTTGGTAAAAGGGACTACATCTGCTACTCCACGTACCGCGATCAAAACAACCCTGAGCTTCAAGAGCCGCTGAAAAGACTACTTCCATAAATCCGTCACCGTGCGTGTTGCATTCTGGGAACCTGTGCGCCAAAAGTGGAGCGCGTATGGATTTTGCTCACCAGGGATTCCCACAGTGTATAACATGGCACTAGGCCGCTATGAGGCGCTTCGAGTTTTGGAATAAGTCTTTTCCAAAAAAAAAATCGACTTAAAAGTACTTTAGTGCTTTAGCGAGCTAGAGAAATGTTCTACGGATTGCGAAACCACGGCTGGATTGAAGCGAAACACGTTATCACTTAGAACGTTTATAATGTTCTAAAGACACGTTACGGAGGTACAGGGCTCTACTGTGGAGCACAGTAAAAGCTCCAGATGCAATTATTAGTTCGGATGCTCCTCTACCTCGTTACACGCGAATGATGCCATGCCAGATACTGAATCTCTAGTCCTTAGCTCTCAGTTCACTTTGCCGGCACCGGTGGCGGATGAGAGATTCCTATGGAGACCGTACAAAAGTGTGAAACGCTTCATCTGCGGTCTCTGTCAAATCCTTGAGATTAAACTTTCGTGCATCAATGGATACCCGGGACACACTCTAGTAGTCCTCAGTGACGCAGTTCGTACCTAACCAAGTTTCTTTAACAGACATTGACTTCAGTACAATATTTCTTAACAGATGGGTTTTTAGAGTTAATTGTATTGGTTAATATACAAAAACAAAACTACACATGGTTGCCCTACACGTTGTCGCACAATGTCGGTGGACATTCCTTCTTGTTCTTGCCGAGGAAAAGCAATTTGGTTGTGAAGATGTAGGCTGCAAAAGATAATGTCCAACGGCATGAAAGACCAAATCGGCGAGGCGGTTCTAGGATACTGCGCTGGATTTCTTTTGGCCAAACCGACATCAATTGGGGTGTTGAAATAAATCCTTCATTATGTTTCCTTTCTAAGGTGTGCTTAGCTCCTCATCATAAATTGCCTCGGCGAATAGGTCTTTCTTATTGTTGGAGACTGTACCTACACAGCAACAAGACCACCTCTATTGCAGCTGATGGGACGTCAGTGTAAGGCACGTATACTCTGATACTTTTCTGTGGCATATCAAAAGTGAAGGCTGCACGTACATAGTTTTGATCGGTGCTCAAGACTCGCGAATGCTACATGGCCTTAGAATGTTGTCTACGAGTATGCATAGCTTTCATGTGACGTCATCACAGCATGCTAGTGCTCTTTCCTGCTTATTTTTGCCGGGAAAATCAAACTCGATGATTGCAAACGCGTGCTCTAAAATACGTATACGCACTTGACCATCAGGGCTACCACTATGGGCGTCAATGCAAGCCATTTATAGTTTACCGCTTCCAGTCTGCAAGTGAAACTTTCTTTCATGGTTCGTTTTATTTTCGTCTCCACATTATTTGCCTATGAATGACTGCTCCGAATGTACCACTCACCAGCAAGCTGGTACAAGGTGGGCAGCCAGTCGGAAATGTGAAAAATGTTGCTGTAGTCTCTCCCCTGCGTGCCGCTTAACGACGGGCTCCAGATGATAGCGGGGGCGCGGACACCTCCTTCCCAGGGCGTGATCTTCTGTCCCTTGAAGGGCCACGCGGAGGCGTAATTGGGATTCTCGCCTCTGGAATTGGCGCCGTTGTCCGAAGAGAAAACCAGAACAGTGTCGGCCAACATGCCTCGCCTGCCGAGGGCTTCAACAACCGCGCCTACCGATTCGTCGAGGGCGGATACCATGCCTGCACAACAGAGAATAGAGACAAAGAAAGAACGACGGAAATGTAACGTAAATATTTTAATCTGGGAGACGTAATCTGGGAAGTTCGCACCAACGATAGTCTCCTCTGTACTCACAAAGCCTGGCAGTTCGACGACGGAGCCATAAAGTGCCCGGTTACAGATTTGGAGCGCGAGGATCTGGTAGCACAGAGCATCAAAGAGCCATTTCTCGGGGAACCTGGACATCAGCGCACAGCTTCTGCACCGGCAAGAACCCGAGATACACTTGTTCGCTAGGGAGAAGTGTGTTTCGGAGTCCCGCCGCAGCGGGGCGCCAGTCGCGCGGTTCCCCTCTCATTCGTTGTCTGCCGTTTCACCTTTTCCATTTCGGCGGCCGTTTCTCGTGGCGATCTGCCAGGCTTTGTCAGTATATAGGGGGCCATGCCCCAACATAATAAAGCTGTAGTGCTGAGTTTTCGGCGTCAGCTAAAAAAGAGCAACGCTAGATATGAACTGGGCACGAGTGCTGCGACATCCAGGGATTCGTCTCAAATGCGCGAAAACACACGTTTCAGCCAAACGCTGACGCGACACTCGTTTCCAATTGGTGTCTGGCATTGGCCTATTTTAGGTGACGTAAGAAATACATCACTAGGGCTTTGTTTTTGAGGAGGGGTTGGTTCGTTTCGGTTGGCCACTCTGTAAAGGTGGTGGCAAGAGGAAAAATTATTGCCATAAAAGCATTGCCAAGTATGATATGCAGGGTTATATATATATATATATATATATATATATATATATATATATATATATATATATATATATATATATATATATATATATATATATAGGGTGTTCCAAGAAAAAGAGCACTGTGCTTTTCGGCCCTGGTAAATAAAATATATGCAGCGCAGAAAGCTCGAACTCAGTCAAAATGTGACGCTAGCGGTTGGGATAGAAAGCGAAAGCTTAAGAGCATAACGTTACTTGAATTACAAGATAACTGAATTAAAAAAGGGAATTTTTTTATTAGCTCATGTTCACCTAAACCAATATTGTAAAAAAAATAAAGAAAAACAGTTGACACTGTGGGCACCTGTATTATTTATTTCAGTGAATATAACCTCTCAGCAAAAAGAAAAACAATACCCGCTTTAAACTTGAGGAAGAAAACGAGAAGAGACTTCTCGTTTCCTTCCTCATGTTTAATTATTCCTACGAACCCGCTCGTTCTGTCCAATACCCGCTTTCTAGCAAATAAGTGTTTTTTCACTAAAATGAATCCCACAAGCGTCCACAATGTCAGTTCTAGCTTTGACAATATTAGGCTCAGGTGGACTTCGGTTCATAAATAAATTCAGTTATTCTGACTGATGTTTTGATTCTGGTAACGTCACGTTCTCAAATTTTCACGTCGAGTCCTAACCGCAAGCGTCACATCCTCACAGATGTAAAGCTTCTTTGCAACGTAGCGTTTATTTACCCAAGCGGAAATACACGGTCCTCTTTTCTCGGGAACTCTTTGTATATATTTTTTACTGTTATTGAGTAATCACCTACTACATTGGGCTTTTCGGTCACTGTCAGCTTCAGTAATGCAGGGCGGGGCTTATTTTCTTGGCGACACTTTTGTTCGTGATTCCTTCTTTGACAGTTATCCGCAATTTTCGTTCTATTTTTTTTTTTCGTGCACCAATTTTTTTTATTGACAAATGACAAGTACGAACATGCTACCACCTCTTGCTGCGGTGCAAGTGCTACACTCCGCGACAACTTTTCTTGGCAATGCAGTGGAAGGTACAGGCCCGCGTCCCCTCTCCCATTTTGAGTGTGCGCGGGCTCTCCTCCTCTCCCAGGAAATGGGGGAGGAGGAGAGCCTGCGTACACTCAAAATGGGAGAGGGGACGCAGGCCTGTACCTTCCACTGCATTGCCAAGAAAAGTTGTCGCGGAGTATAGCTACCCATTTTATATGCTCATACCATGGGGACTTGTCCGAAATTATTAATGCGGTTAAAATGAATCGAAAAATGTGAACCATTTCGCTCATTGCGGAAACAATCGTCGTAAGTAAAATACGTATGACGGTCAAGAGGTTTGTGCCACTGCGTCACCTGGTGGGTGAACTATTTGCCACGCGGAAACATGACGTGACGTCGGGTGACATCAATTTACGCCCCGCGAAATTAGATGTTGTCGTTACACTTCAGAGGGGAGGTGGGCGCCCCAAAAAGGTGTCTTACGTTCAAAAAGCATACAAGGGCTATAGTTCGGTACTCTTTACTATGGACCGCAGAAGAGGAGGCTTCGAGCCATCAGAGCCAATCCAGTCCTGCGAGACTGTCACATGACCTTGGGGAATGAGCGCTTACGTGGCACTTCTATCGCGCTAGCTTCGCTGGAATGGCTTGCAGCGTCCTCATCATCATCATTTATTTTTCTCGAAGACCCAAAAGTATGATGGCTATAAGGGGAGGTGTGCCGAGCAAAAAATCGAATGCATGCCACTTGTTCATGACATCGATGCCACCGGTACTCCGCGCGTGGTACAATCGCGCAACGCACAATGGAACCAGGCGTAGAAGTGCGTCCTGCTTGAGCACTCGGAACACAAGACGATCTCGTGCCACGCTCGCGCACGATACTTGAGACGCTTTACGTCGCGCCCCTTCGAGCAGAATGCATTAAGCTAGAGCCACTAAATGAGCTGCGCTTAGAGTATCGGCAGTCTGTTACCCGACACCCCGACACTGTTGTGAGCGCCGCCAGTTTGGGGCTTCTGCGGAGCACACGCAACTGCCGATCGCCATGATTCAAAAGTGTGACTTCCTCAGCATTAGATTCGGTGCTCGGAAGATGATGTAATATTGCTTTGCTCTGTCGCGAACTGTTTAAACATTTGTGGAGGGCGGAAAAGCGTTTCCTGTGATTTCAGATAAAGCTTAAGATAGCTGGCAACCATGATTTTAAGACACAATATGTCCAAGTGTCGTTACTCTGAAACGTAGCTTATTCAGTGGCCCTACACCGAGCTCCTGGCCGCAGCGCCACTTTTGTCGTCAAGAGGCGGCAGCACGTGAAACTACCCAAGAACGCATAGCGCGCTGTACACCTACCCATATAGCCACCATACCAAAAGGGTATTACATAAGGGGTGAGCATACTCATAAACCAACTCATGTTTACAAGGAAACCAGAGCGCTTCTAGCGGACGCCACTGACGCTTCGCATGCGCGATGGAGTGTGGGCAAGAAGCTCGCCGTCGCCCACAAAAAAAAAAAAAAAAAAAAAAAAAAAAACATTGGAAGCCGATGTTGTCGGCACGGGTGCTCTTTTTATGTTGATTTTATGTTATGTTGAAATTGTTGACTCTACGTCTTCCTAACAAGGTCTGACTACTTGAGCGGCTTCAGCATTTTTAACGAGGCTCGTTACACCGCAAGACTTCGCGTGAGAAATGTGACGTGCGGCGATTCATCCTGCGGCGATCCGCAGAATGGGCGCTAAAGCCTGACTCGCACGATGAGATTCTGGTCGCTATTTTCAGTCGCGACGTCACTCGGGCTGCAAAAGTGTGGACCGTAGCTGAGATGGTCGACGTCGATGCTGAAAATCGCAAGCAGAATAGGGCATTACAAATCGGTGATGGCCACTGGCACGGCCACTCGATTAGGACCGTGCCACTGGTAACAATGATCAACATCTCCACGTATCTACTGTTTACACTGAGCCTACTAACCCCAAACGAGCTTCAAACTTAAAAGACTTTTGAGGCCTGCACATACATTTTATGGCAATTACCGGGTCAGCGTTTGGTCTACGGGCCGCTGTCGCTTGAACGAGCAGATGACAGTTCGCAAGCATGGGCAATAGAGTGTGGGCAAGAAGCACCGTGTCCCACGTCAACAAACTATTCCAATGTCACGTTGTCGGCGTCTGTGTGAGTCTCCGTACTTTTTTTCGTGTTGGAATTGCCGATTCTACGTCCTCATAGCAATGTCTTACCACTTTAGTTGCCTGAGCGAAATCATTGAGGCTCGCTATACGCCACAACACTTTGCGTAAAAATTTTGACCTGTGGAGATTTATTCATGTGAACGCCACAGAATGGAGGCCAAAACCGTAATGATATTCTTCTCACTATTTTCGGTCGCGACGTCTCTCGTGCTGCAAAAGTGCAGAAGCTAGCGGTGATACGTGGATACTGAAAATCGGAAGCGGAATTAAGACCAAATGAATCAGGCGTAACAAGTGGGTGATGGCCGCTGGTACCAATGATAAACATCCTGTATCTACTGTTTACACCGAGCTTACTAAAAGTCTTTTGAGGCCTGCAATTACTTCTTATCGCAATCGCCGGGTCAACGTTTTGTCTACGGGCCGTTTTTGTTTGAACGAGCAGACGACAAAAAACAGAGAGGTTTGGAAGAGCAGATGACAGTTCGAACGATCAGGCGGCCGTTTGAGCTTGAAGACGCACTGAACCCGCGGGTGGTCCGAACTACTTGGAGGTTTTCCATCGTTTATGTTGGAACTAAACAAATGGATCTGCCAGCCACAAGTATCCGTAAATTCAACACAAAGTGTTTCAGACACAAACAATCGTAGTTCGACAGCGTCTGGTTTTTCCTTTTTACGGCAACTATCCATGTTCTCGGACGAACGGAGGAGGCAAAAAAAAAAAAAAAGAAAACACATGAAACCTGACCTTCAAACGTTTCCCGACTCTTTTGGTACATCCCCTGTTGCGGCATTTTGAGGAGAAGGCAGGTTTTCGTCTTGTTTCTCCCAAAAGAACACATAAATGGATGTCGCGCACGGTGATTTCCGCCCACCACCCCAGACCGGAAGTGCGCCCGACGCGCCACCACCACGGCGTGACGTAACAGAGTTGAGTTCGCGTGTATAGAAAATAGGGAGTTTTAGAATAACGTACGCAATTTTAGCGCACGCTAGCGCTAAATTTAGCGCTTGCATTAGCGCACGCGACGCAAGAGAGTTTTAGAATAGCGTTTCTCCGC